CTGTTTAATGTTCGTCTGTTTTCTTGTGTATTTTTCTATTTGCAAAGTGTGTATGTATTAAGTGCGTTTTCGAATACAGCTAGACTTTCGCTCATTTTTGTTTGCGCTATCGAACATTTCTAGGCGTTCAATGCTTCCCGTGGTGCTATTGGTTTTGTTTGGTGCGTTCGATTGGTGTGTATGTGGAATAGGGTACGTCATCAATGACGGTTACAGTAAGGGTGAAGTAATAATATTATGCTACTGATGGGCAAACTACACTCCCAATATAAATTGGTAGTTTTGTGTACTAGACTAGGAATGGGTTACCGTCGCCAAGATGGGAATTGTACGGGAGTAATTTTGGATACATAGAAGTTTTGCTGCAAAGCACCTTCCAATTGGGAATCATGAATGCATTGAAAAATGATCCGGGACAAGTCTCTACTTTGATAAAATATAGCACCGATATGTACCACATCCTAGACTATTTCATGTTATTATTTTCTGCCAAATTCATGACTAACAATTTTGACGACAATGGTGTACAAATAACAAGATCCAATCGCAAATAACTAGAAAAGAATAATTAGGAAAGAAAACAATTACTTACCGGTCATACAAATAATGTGAAAAACCAATGGACTATCTTCAGTTGTTGGTGATTTTTAAAGTATTACTCGACCACGTCATTGGCTACGTCATAGTTTCCTTGTTCGTACCTAGTCATGTCATAATTATTAAAATATTCATCAAAATATCGCAATATCACACAATAGCTAGACAGGTAAATACTTGGTCAAAGTATGATGTAATCCTGGGAAAATAAAGTTGCAATTATTATAAGCACTAATGTACTTTTTAGAAAAACACTTCGAACGAGTCTAAACATACTTGTATCATCATTCATAAACGAATACGCACTTTTCATGACTCCACAAGTACTTTTGTTGGTATGATAACATCATAATTATAACTAGTTAGCCATTTTACTGTGTTTTGTTTTTGTGAACAGAAAAAAAGTTACTAAACTAGGAGGAAATTGTGATGAAATATCGATATCATGTATTCATTTTTGATTTTCATACCAACAAAGACAGCAGAATGAGTGACCTTTAGAGGTTATGCAAAGTCACCTATAAAAATAAACTTTTCACTGACGACTAAATAAACAGTCACTTAATACACAGTGATCACTTCATTGAAGTCACTATGTTAAACAAGGTGACTTAATGTGCAATAGAAAACGACACAAATATTAGTTAGTATACTGGATCGAAAACAACCACATTTCAGCGAATTAAAGCTTAATATGTTAAAACACGCTTAATAGGTCAACAGACCATTAAAAATATGCATATTATTTTTTATTTCATTATAACTCTTTATAATTTTGATCAACGTTTACTTTAGAAAAATAAATTAAGATAAAATGATACCAACTACTAACGATTAACGAGAACCACTGTGCATGACGCATGTAAACCATTTGTTTCTTCTAAATGATTCAGAGCACTACAAATGTTGTGAATGGACATCGACACATTTCAATGTATAACAGTGTCTCACTCATGCTGCAAGTTATAGTCGTGTAAATAATTATGCATTGACATTTCTTTGTAAATTCACAACGTATTCCAAATATTGAATGTAATAAACATACGGTGCCTCGATCTCGGGGTTCAAGCTTTATGCTAATTTCGAACGCATCCAGTTGTTAGCGTGTCGTTATTATTTAGGTATCGGAAAACAGCGAAACTGGGTATTAACTATTCAGTTAAAAAAATGTCTAAAATTCGCTATCCTTAAGAATGCTATATTATGCTTTGCAATATTGATTGTTCAGGAGTAACCAGTATTGAGACTGGTAGAATGCTTTGTCTGGAATGTAGTAAAAGATTTTGCCCTGTTTTCAGCTTATTTTCAATTTAGATATTGAAGAGAATAAAAAAAATTCGTGATTTTTTCCAAGTAATTGAATAATTCTAACAATTTTAGCCACCTATATTATATTGGTCACTCACTATGTTGTTTTTAACCTCCCCGACTTCTAACCCGCAATGGGAAAGTATCGTACTGTATCCAATGTTCTAAATAGATCAAACAGAAAACAATATACTCAAAAAATCACATCACAATAAATGCAAGTTATCAGATATTAATCGGAGAATCATAAAAAAATCGATGCGTATTTCCATCATTCACTGAAACTGTATCAACAAATTCAAGTGAAAAGAGTAAGCACATTTGACAGTAAGACAGTCAAAGATTAATTGATAAAATACAACCCAGTCGTGTGGAAATTCGACCACTTCAAAACTACTTTCTGAACGAAGAAGAAATCCAGAAAAATATCCCTCTACAAATGGGTTCGGCAAGTCCTTCCAAAATAATTCATAAAGGGTAAAATGGTCCGTGACATAATGAATATTTAATTTTGATAAAGAATGGTAGATGTATACGGGCCAATTTCAAGTAGTAATGTAAAACAATTCGAGAAAGTTTAATGAATGCAATACTATTTGACAGTAGTAATGTCAAAAAGTCGAGACAGTTTAACCTCAGACTTGTAACTACTGTCGTTTATGCCACTTACTGTGTTTATGTCTCGATAGTTGACTGTAATATGATAGATCTCGCGTTATTTTGTGAGATCTAATGATAATCTTGTTTCTTGGCAACGTTTACTCAGTAGATAAGAATTGATAACCTAAACAAACGAGGCACGCATTACTTCAAAAGAAAACGCCGCGTTGCGAGTCTGCTGTACTACTAGTCTGTAAAAGTAAAAGTATTCTTTTGAAAAGCCAAAAACGTTGATTAGCCGTGAAAGGTATAGGGATGTATACTAAGAGTGGAAAGTTGGATTCAATGCGGTAAAATGGTGTTAAAGTTGGGCTTTACCCCTTTTTGTAAAAAATGTCGTTAATTGTTAAAAGACATAAAAGTTAATTTAAAAGCCGTTAAAGGTACTGAGAAACGCGTTTTGTTGACATGCCGAAAAGTAAGGCTGGGTCGCTGATAAAGGCGGTTTGAAAATTGTGAACGTTGGATGGAAAATAGTTTTGACAATTTTGTTAGAAAGACTAGAGAAAATTGTTAAAGGTTGTAGTAATGTTTTGAAATGTGGTTAACAATCGAATAAGTTAATGGAAAGGCGGAAAATATTTTGGAAGTCATAAAAGGTAACTAGAATTTGGGAAAGTTGAATAGAAAGTCCAATAAGTTGGGTTGAAAATCAAAAACGTTGATTGAAAGCCGAAAATTTTGATAGGATAGTCGATATAGATGGTTAAAAACTGATAGAATTTGCTGAAAATTAATAGACGAGGACTAGAAAATCGTAAAAGTTTACTTTAAAGTCGAAAAAATGGTAATGAAGTCATAAAAAAAGTGGTGGAGAAGTCGTGCATGAGCAATGTGGATGGAAGTCTTGAAAGCTGTTTGGAAATAGTTGAAATTAGTGATATGGTCGCTAGATAATATTGATGAAGATGGAAAGAAAGGTAAAAGATTTGGCTAGAAAAATTCTGAAAAGTGGCTAGATCGATGAGGTTGAATAAATATAAAATATTGTGGTTGGAGAGTCGAAAAAAATGTTTTTGGTAGTGAAATATTCTTAGATAAATGAAAAAATGGTCGACAGAAATGATTTTTGAAAAGTCAAGAAGATGGTTGATAAGCCATAATCAATGAAAGCTTAAAAAACTCCTGTGTGTTGAAGGTATTTGAGGCAAGAAGTTAGCACATGTGCTTCTATTGGAGCAAATACAGAATTAAAAAAATATATACTACAAGCAATGATCAAGGGGGTTCCAAGTAGGTATAACAATTACAAATATAATAATAATGGCCATATGAGATAACTTATTATTTTAATATTTTGGTCATATATCTTGTCAGACAAAACTATAGCACCAGTTGCATGTCCCTATCAGCAACAGTACTTACATCACATTGATTTCAACCCCAAATTAATCCAGTTTGCACATTAGTCCAGGGCATCTATGTACCACGTATCATCAAAATATGCTGAATGGTAGTTGAGAAACAAATGTAAATGTCTAAAGTGTGCTAATCAATATGCAAATTAGGGTTATTAATATGCATGGTTTTTAAACCAAAGTCAATCAGGTCTGTGAATAGTCATGGAGCATCTATGTATAAAGTTGAAATGTATTATTAGACTTGAAACATCTTACCTTGAAATTTAATAATTATACAAATTAGGCAATTAATATGCAAGAATACTAATCTAATACTTATCAGGTCAGTGCAATATCCTATGACATCTATGTACCAAGTTCACAGTAATGTGATGATTATTAGTACTTTAGATATCAGTAGAAAAGTCGAAAATTTACAAATTAGGCAATTAATTTGCATGGGATTTCTACCCAAAACTAATCAGGTCAGCACATTGTCCCAGAGCATCTATAGATAAATAAATGATCTATAAAATCAAGTGAGTGGTTCTTTAGATATCAGTGGAAGATTTATGAAAGAACTAAAAATCGGTGAATTATCATGCAAACCAACATATGGTTCTTAAGATATCAGTGGAAAGGTCAAAGACGCGCACATACAGACACACATACATACAAAAACACTTAGATATCAGTGGAAAGGTCAAAGACGCGCACATACAGACACACACATACATACAAAAACACTTAGATATCAGTGGAAAGGTCAAAGACGCGCACATACAGACACACATACATACAAAAACACTTAGTTTTTACAGCTCCATTTTCTCACATAGCCACTGCATTAATGGAGCCCCTTGACACTCCATCTCCAGAATTCTAGTGGTTATCAAAGTGGAAGTCCATGTGGTCTGCCTAATATCAATCCTTACATTTTTTCTTACAAAAAACATTTGACACGAATTGAAGATAACAGCACAAAATGAACAAATTATATATATAAAGGTTCTAGCAAGGAA